GTAAGCATATCATTATAGACCCCATATCTATTTAATTTGCAATTTAAATAGAAATTTTGTAAGTTAATTATAAGAGTTACTGCTTTCCTTGTGAGATTGATACTAGGTTTTTTAAGGAAAATCATGTATTACTTGAAATGATACGTATATTTGCTTAGCACCCTTAGTGTGAAAATTTATTTTATAATTCATAAGTCATTGCATTTGTTCACACTAGCCGCTAGATATAATTTGAGAGGAATTTTCTGGAAAAAAATTGGAGATTAAAAATTCAGGTAAATGCGGGTCGGGTTAGTGTCCTCACTTGTGTTCTGGTTGAGTGAAGGCACTTAACAAGTTATAAATCTTCTAGTGATATGCAAATTTTTGCCAGTTTCATTAACTTAGATTATCTCTTTGGGTGTTATAACCCATATGCATAAAGGAATTAGCCTTATTTCAACCCCTGAGCCAAGACATATATGAGCTCTAAGTGCATTACTTCTAGCATTTCTCTCTGAAAGCAAGTTAAGAAGACTATCAAGATCTCTAGGTTACTTGCACTGTTGAAGCAATGTCTGTGAATTTTTTTATGGCTTTTGAGCACTAGCAAATTATGTTATAATCTGTAAAAGAGGTTATTAATCCTAATGGTTAAATGGTTGAACTATAAAGGGATGACTCTTTCAGAGTCATAAGGAATACCTAAAATTTCAATGCATTTTTTACCCTTAACAAGCACACAATGAATTTGAAAGAGGAGAGGTGGTCAGAGGGGTCAGATTGCCCTCGTTTAGACTCCATAGATAGGATTTCAAGTGTTAGAGCACTTCCTCTTTGGATGTCTCTTTACAGAAAGCATTCTCAAACTAGTAAAAATATGAGATGTAACATGCTTACGCCTATTGCAATCAGGTACTGCCAAACTTTTGTTATTTGAGTATTATTAATCATCCAAGACTATTGACGCCAGCAAGGAATTCCTTCTAACACTAAAAGCAAGTTTGGTTAATCAACATGGTGGAGCTACTAGTTAGGGTGGTGGTATTGTTGTTTTGGCAAACATTTCGTAGACAATCATCATCACCATTAGTTTTTTGGGCATAAACTTCCCATGTGTAATCCATGTAACTATCAATTTCTCTCCAATTACTAATTTTTTTAAGGACTTCACTTCTTATTTACAAAATGATCCAAGATCATTGTATCTTTTCAGGATATTGAATTCAATTTTATCTATAATCATGCTTAAGTAATCAAGCTTGAGTAAAGAGAGTGATGGAGAGAGGAAACTGAGAGCTCTATGTTATCATGGAAGTAAGCAGGATTCCACTTAGTACAAATCAGTGATCACTTTACATTTACTATTTTCCCTTTCATTGAGATATTTTCTCTACATAAGGAAGCATAGGCTATCATTATGCTTAAGTTTTGAGTTACATAAAGATGTATGTTTGGTCATGTCATCATTTAAGCCAGGACTTTTCTTGGAAATTTCCTCTCCAAAAGTTAACTTAGTTGTTCAATGGATGGATTGCGACTCAACATTTATCTTCGGCTCCAATTCTCCTTTTCATTGGAATTCCTTATTTCTTATATTTGTGCCACATAAACTCATACTAGACTGATGTATATCTTAGTTGGTGAGATTGGGTTGTACTTCTTCTGTCATTCACACTTAGGTTGGATTCCCTAACAAGCCTAGATCGGGAAGAAGGCTTGTTTAGATGAACTTCTATTTATATTGGTTCACTGTAGCTGCTATTTATTGTACATATCTAATTTTTGGATTTAGCTAGAGCTGTAAACGAGCTAAGCCTGTACGAGCTCAGCCTTAACTTGTGTTCGACTTGTTCAAATTTGGCTCACATTCTAAATTAGAGCATGTTTGAAATGGCTCGTAAACTGTGTGTTCGTGTTCAACTCGATTAACAAATTCCTGTTCGTGTTCGGCTCAAGTTTAGCTTGAAATTAGGTCATTATAATTTAAAATTAACATAATAATTATTCTTTTAAATGAAAATAAAATAATAATTTTATCTAAATTTTCTTATCAATGTTATTTGCGACGGTGATGTTATTTGTTTGTTTTCAGCGGTAATAACACTGTCATAACACCACAATAACATCGCAAATTTACTAGAATAACACGGTGTCGGCGCTATTTTTAGGTTGGTGGGGAGTTGGCTATGAGCTCAGGGAACATAGAGGAATATGTCATAGCAATTTAGTGCAATGATACCTAATTTTGGTAAGGATATCTTAAGCACATACATTTTTGGAAATAATATCCCTTAATTTGGGGGACCTTTATCCATGGTTTGATTTAGGTGGTTTCATGGTGTTTGGACTGGTCACTAGGTACAACTAATGATTGTGGTGGAGTTAATTTGGTGACTTTAGGGTGGTTAGGTCACATTTAGTGCATGGGTTCAATGTGGGTTTAAGTGATCAAAGTTTAGGTTTGGGCTAGGTTAGCCATGTCAAATGAAATGTTGCATTTGGTATAGATGATCATAAGGAACAACTTTGGTGAAGGATGGAAGTGGTTTTGAGCTCAATTGAAGGGTCAATTTGAGGGAATTTTGAATTTTAGTCAATTTGGTCATGTTGGGCTAGGCTTGGGTCTAGCTTGGGTTA